TCTCGTGAATGCCCTCTTTCTTTCTGATGAATTAGTATGCGTTCCAAGAGATTCGGTCATTGCTCAGTATTTCGCCCATGAATATTCCAATTTTTTTTCGAAGCTGAACAATACCCTAACGATAGATCCCGGAAAAATGGAGTTTCGCTCTTTTAAAATCTCAGCACAACATGGTCTTTCGATTTGTAGTTATTGCAATTACCTCAGGATTGTTTTGAGGGACCCTCAGCACTCCCTTCCCTGCCAAAATGGCTATACGACAAAAAGCTCGCTCGCCTAAACTCTCATAATTACATTAACACCTGTATTTGCTAGCATTCGGTCTCTCGTAACCTTTGTGCACAAACAGCCCACATGCATCCAACTGCCTGTTAGTTATTGTCGCATTATATGGCTCAATTCCCATCAAATAAATCTTCGTGTGACAATTTCGCTGTATTTTGCGGACGATTACAGACACTAATACCATCTTTTTCCTCAATCGAATTCTTAAATTAGAAGATATACCACCTTTTCTTTTTAAGTAGGCTGAGGTCGCTACCAAAGTACCAAAATACCCACCTCAACCCACTCAACGAGAAAAGGTAGTCTATGTTCTAATTTTGGGCTGAGTTGCGAAAAAAGTACCATCACAAGGTTCGGGGATCGAATGTCGGACCAATACTCGCCCAGACCTGCCAAATCTTCCATTTCTCAGGGGTGTATCAGACTTGTCATGGTCGATAAAACACTGACTTATACATCGGCCAGTCATTGTATGGGCCATACACGCATTCAATACGGCACTACGATTCTGAATGGAATGAATGTGGGGCACATCGCAGAAGCTTTATCATCTTTCTTTTATACTTGCGGTAACTTAGTCAGATGTTAAAGGTTAGGGATAAAAGCATCTCGAACGCGATTAATTAACGCCGAGGACTTAATCCTTTTACGCTTTATTTCCTGGAATTGTACTATGCTAATAGGTTCGAACTTCTGGAGGCCTGTGCCTTCTACTCTCAACCAACCCGTTTCGTGAGATGACGGGTTCATGTTGGGCCGGAGCGCCTCGATTCAAAACCCGAAAAAGATGACTGCGTTCCTCACCTCAGCAGCATTTGTCGGAGTCCATCCTTTCAATCTGATTATTCAACGAGTCTCCACACACTTCTCTTACTGGTTTAATCTGGCGGTATCCGACATATAGAAATTTGCACGGTGGTAATTGAAGCTGACTTACAACGTTTGAATGGCGAAGTCTTTTTTCCAACTCTTCCAAAGCTTGGAAATTGCCTTATGTCCCGGTTGATGATTGACTAGGCACGTCGTCGTCGGCGTTTCTTATCGATTGCGCGCCTTCTAGTTAGAGCTCCTTCTCAGACAATCCCACCTGCACTAAACTTCATTGGCCTATGCTCCCTGCTGCTATATAGTACTGTTATATTCCCTTGGTATCCGGTACACTTTATAAGGTTCTCTCCTTAGCTGCTTAGTTGCTTAGTCCTTAGCTGGGAGTTTCCGTTCCGTTACCCTACCTTAGAGTCAAAGTAAAGGTGAGTTTGGGTTCTTACCCCAGATGTTGCCGGTGAAAAGACGGGAAAGAGACTGTCATATTCCGAAGTTCTCCCATTCCAGCATCTTCAAATGGACTCCAAGAACAGACCGATAACTTATATTGCTAGAAAACCAAGGAAAAAATCCACTCTTACCAACCCGCACTGGTTAGAGCTTAGGTTCGTATGCAGCTTTTAAGATCGCTCCTGTGGAACCGTCGTTCTTTTCCCGAAGAATTTTTTTCTCTACTATTTTTTTCATCTAATCCTTCCTTCTTGAGCACCCTATCACCTCCATTAGTCTCCGCAACTTCTAATTATTGCCTCCTTCCTCTGCTACGTTCAGTGGTTCTGGCTTGCTCATCGTAACTGTCAAATGAATAGGAATTCTGGGATTTTTTCGATACAAGAAGGATTCTCTGCATCGAATCCGTAAAGGGCTGTCAAGTTTAATGTTTTAAACGTTCGTCTTCCTTCTAACGAGCCTGTATGGTGGTTTTAAGAAAAGCCTTCCAAAAATCAATGGGAAGCACATGGCAGTTGATTGCGCTTTGGAATAAATTACAAGTCGATTAACTTGAATTCCACAAATTTCTCCCGACTGCATAACCAAGCAGTGAATTCGAAATTGCTATCTAAAAATGATTTCAGCAAACTACCTACGATTTGACTAGTCATGCAAGCTGCTCCTACCAGCATCAATAATTTAATGTCGTTCTTTCTAAATCTTTTCAGTTTTCGGCATGATTCGAACCTTCTCCTCTATTCTACCTTTTTTTGTCCGAAAAGGAACTTTTCTTCAGGAAAGACTAGAGCGGATGCCCTTTGAACTTTTGGAGTTATCAGTCCCCATTTCACCCTTACTCTCTTCTGACTTGCGTGTTGTGACGAATCTTGACCCCAATCACTTGAAAAAGAACGTTATCGTCCAGAGCCAGGACTTCCTTTGAACTATTACGCGATTCCTCCGTTCGTTGCCATTGTCATAGCCATTTGCTCCGCATCTGCTTGAACCCATCGCTCAACATAACCTCTTAACATTCAGGAAAGCCGGTTGGAAATGGTACGTATAAACGATTCGGCGGAGGATGAAGCCCCGGAAGAAGAATTGACGAAGGAGGTCGCCCCAGAGGAAATGCCGATGCAGACAGAACCACCACCAACGACATCAACATCGACCACAACGTAAGGATATCAAGATAAAGAGCATCAAAAACCAAAGACCTCGAATGATTGGTGATTAATACCTTATCCCTTAATGACTCAGAAACTAAAAGAAGAGGAGGGACTAGATGTTTTATGATATGACTGTTGTGAAGGCTTGGCTCTGGTTGACCACATTGGTTGTACATCTCAAAGATCTCGAAACCTACGTAATACCTTCGGTAACCAATCACTTCCTAGTCATAGACTGGAATACATCGAACTTATTACTTCCAGGCATCGTTGGTTGGCTAGCATCAGTTTATATTCCCTGGTGGTCCTCCGTGGGTAGTGAGTTAGCCAATTGCCTGAGAAACTTACACAATTGAAACAATGGTGGTTTAATTACCAGTTGAGAGTTCATCGAACTAGTATTGTTCAAGTTCGAGGAAGGTGGCAATTATCAGACCGTGACGAGCCTTCCGGGAACTTTTTAAATTCCATCTACTTCTTTGAAAATGAGATTTGCAGTCTCATAGCTAGCAGAGTTTGGAAAAACAGGATGTCATTTTCTACAAAAACTTCAGGAATTACGTCATTTTCTACAAAAACTAGCGAAGCCTGTTTTTGGTCCTGTTTGCTGAATTGAAGACTCAACATAAAAATGGAAAGAAATCATTCACAAATAACCATAAATAGAATAAATAATCGTGAATACTTTGATGGAAATTTTGGATAAACAAAACGAGGGTATGCTCGAACTCAGATAAATACCTCTGCTGTTAGAATTATTTTCCCATAAAGCGATATCGCCTAAATTTCTTGAGAATGAACAAATGAAAAGCTTTCAAATCAGAGTCAGAGTCAGGCAGTTGGGAAAGTCCGAACACTCCCCAACCAAGAAGGTTTTGGGAAACGCCCCTGCCTCGAGGTGACCAAGAAACACGGTTTTCTCATGATTGTTTATTAGAAAGGACTTAATTTTGTTTCGTGAAACTTTTACCGAGTTTTCTGAAGTATGGAACATAATAATTAAGTAAAGAGTGACTAGTCGAGTGGGTAATCACATTGGAGCCTTCCCAGGAAAGCCAACGAGGAAAGCCGAGACAGTTACATGGCACTTACATTACATTAATCGATTTAGATTCAAACAGTACTGAATAGCACTGTTCACACATACGTGTGGCATCGGCAAACAAATACAGATCAATCTTCTATGGAATGTGGAATCTATTTCGATGCCCCACCTCTGCCCTTGTCGCTCACAAAAGTGCCTTTTGTTTGACGTTTCCACTGCCAGAATGCCTACTTTCCAATATCGGCTGATTATTTTCCCCTAATCGACTGAATATTTTTAATATTTTTGGTATTTTGAGCACTTGTTGGTGGACTTACGTTCGTTTAAGCAAGTCTACAGCGCAGCTGACAACTTCAGAAAGGGCTTTCTCGAGCTTGTCGAAGCACCAGGCACACCAGGCGTATTTCATCGCTTTTGTCTTTTTTTGGGACCTTTTTTCCACAGAACCATAAATTACGTATGGGGAAATGTTCTTCAAAAACTGCAGTCTCTTCTTTTAGCTGCTTCTATTATTTGGATGAGATTTATACTGGAGGTGGAATTTGCTGTAAACCTTTTGAGACAGTAATTCTAACTGTCTGATATCAAAATTAATTGCTACATATCCATGCTCATAGCTAGAAAAGTACTAGAGGGAAGATTGCCCTTATTTCCCACGCCTCTGTTCCTCACTCCATCAAAATTTCGATGCCCACACTTGTGTGGCGTGTATCGCATAAGCCTGATGAGGAAACTCGTCCCGCAAGGAGAGTTTCGAGATGGTTTTTGACTCTGCCCTTGAAGGGCACGTACTATGTGCGTGGAAATCAGGTTAGCCCTCCCTAGGAGGCATAGACAGACAGAAAACCCTTTTTGAAAAGTGCAATTTCACCGCTTCAACCATCCCATTCGATTTTGCACCTTTTTTACGCAGTTTTTCCAATCCAAATATAAATATAAATATTTGAGCAAAGTCCATATGATATATAGCTCATTAGCAGCAAAAGCTTCTAAATTGTAAAATAGACGCTACTGGTAATGCGCAGTCTTTTGAAGTTGCATTTTTTTTCGAATATGTCCCTTAGACTGGTGCTCCTGAAGTTTACATTATAGAAGCATACTGTAGACGTTATATATTTTTCTCCTACCTCGCATTCTCGCCTGACAAATAAGCCAGGCTTTTTTCCAAAAAAAAAAAATTGATTCCACATGGAAAACACCTGGAATAATTGCAACAGAAAGCACTTGGTTATGATTCAAACTTCATGAGTACTTCTATATATATGGTTTATTACAGTACGACGACGAAGGAATCGTTGAAGGATGTGGTGATGGGAAAAGTGATTGATGTAAAGGATGTCGTCAAAGCTAAAGTTATGAAAGAAACTGGAAGTGAGTTTTTCGTTTAATTCTGCAAGTCCTCATATTAGCGAAATACCCGAAAAAAAGGAGAGTAGAAGAAGCGAAACACGGGAAAGAAGCTGGCCATCTCCTCGCTCTACCAGTAATACGATGCGGATGAGGAGACCATTTTCAAGGACTTGAAAATTTNTTTTTGTTATTTCCTATTGTAGTCGACTTCTTTCTCTCGAAATATTAAGAAGCCTATGTGAAAATGAACACAAAGAATGGTTCCATAGGATGGCGAAGGTCGAGAACTCCAACGCCGCTGGGCTGTGTCAGGACCACTCGAGGTCACCGCGCGCGGCGACAATGATGGCAATTCTTGACCTATGCCCATTCCTTATGACTTCAAGAGCAGAACACATCTTTCGGACTGAAAGCCGTTATATAGTAGCAGCTTGCCCACACCTTTAAAAACAATGATTTCAAGAATTGGGAACACATTTTACTAGGGGCTATACATGAAGCGGCAGATCTTGAAGTATGTTTGTCTGTTCACGTCCTTTCTATTCCACTTTCTCCAGTCCTCCACTCTTTAGGATTGTCCTCTATGTGGTTAGAATAAGTGGCTTCCGCTTCATCGCTAACAGCAACGATGACGTGGGCACTTTTGGGCAACTTCCCGTTCCCTGGGGAATTCTTCGGCGTTGAACACCATCCTTTCCAAGAAATATGAGCCCCGATATGAAGTTTTTGGATGCGCCACTGAAACAATCGATGCCAAGCCAGCGGGGTAAGAGGGGGAGGGTGGATTTTATCGCAATGGCAGAATCTCCGGGCTAAAAAGCCGAATTCTTCAAAGCCCGTAAGCGCCATTCGTGTCATCCAATAAGTGCGTCAAACCTAGAAGGATGCTCAGAATTGCAAACACACGCGAAATCGCGAGAGCGAAAAAAACGGGGTGAGGGTAGGCATTGAATGGACGTGGAACTCATGAGTTCTATGATGATTCCATCAAATCAAGTCGGCTTTGTTTGCTCGGAATTGTATTGCATAACGGGTCGGTACGGATTTTCACGCATTAAGGGGCTAAGTAAGTAGTTGGTCTTACATATTAAACACCTCAACCGCCAAATTCACGATGCCCCTTAAATATAAACGCCTAATCATCCTGAGCCTTCTAAATTATATTACCAATTATAGTACACGCTACATCCCTCCTTTTCATGTCCGGCTCGGAGGGATTGCCTAGAATGCGTGTGACAGCCCGAGCCTGTCACGTAGGCGGCCGTAGAATGACCGAGTGGGAGGGTGATTCCTCGTTACCTCCCATACACTTGTAGAGGGCTTTTCGGAACTGTTACATAAATGTTGTGGAAAAGGTTGCGTACATAGGATCAACGGGACATGTCAAGAGCTATTCCCCAAGAACTCACCAGTCTGTAAGTATGACATGGGCGAAGTTTATAGAACAACATTCACAGTTTTCTAATCCTTCGGAGTAGCCTAACTATTGAAAAACTCGACCCGGAAAGGAAAAGCACTGGCTCACACCCCGACCGGTCTTCTGAAGTCAATGCACAACGGCATACGCATTCAAACGTCAGTAGAGCTCTGAATGGAGGTGAATTGTGAGGATTCCTTGAGGAGAAGTTGATTGACGCTAGGAAATCCTATCCTTTCAAAGCTTCACACCATCGCAATACTCTTTTTAGGGTATTTACTCACCCACTGAGCATTAGGTCACATCCTAGTACACCACCTCAATTTGGACATTTCACTAGAACCACGTGAAGTGAATGGCGTGAAAAAGGGTAAAAAGCTAGACGTGCTGGAGGTGTGCTTTCAGTAGTAGTTATTTAATTTGGTATAGATCCACTTCTATATTCCCAAGTGTAACGAAAGCAGAGCTGTCTTTTTTATCGTTCTTTCCCTGAAGAATCTGAAAACATTGAATGCACAAGATCCCCACTAAATTGGAGAGCATTTCTGCTTATCTGATTCGAGCGTTGGAGGCCGTAAGTGGTTCTTCCTAGACAGCCTTGGGAAATCACAACCTCTTCTTCTCCTGCCACCGTTATCGATCTTCTCTAACCATTTTCAAAAATAAAAAATTCAAGAGGGAACCCTCTCCCAACGAGAGCACGATGGATCGTAGTAGCAACATTCTGTTTATAAAGCTTTTCCTTTCCTCGACTGTTTTGCAGTCAACCTAGTGGCATGGGTATAGAAATTTAGTTGGGAATGTCACCCAGTCGAAGTGAGCGATTGGAAAATAAAGAAAAGCGACTATTAAGGTAGTACGAAGAAACCATTGAGATGCCCTTTCCTGTTCCCCAGTGTCAAAGCTTTACTTAATTGTTACTTATTTCAGTGCCAGAATGGGCGTTCGTATTTCTTGGTATAATCGCCATCATCGTGGTTCTTCTCATAGCATATCTGATCATCAGAAAACTTTTCGGCAAGAAGCGGCATGGGGAAAAGAACAAGAACAAAGGCTTCAAAGGATTGTTCAGCAAAGGAACTGATCTCATGGCCGGAAAGGATGTGATGGGTGGGGTAAGTCAGTTGGAAATTTTTGAAAGTATATCGCTTGCAATTGTGCGATCTATCATTTGGACGTAAGAGCGATTTCATGGCGCATCCTAACAATGGCAAAAAATTCATTGAAAGTTTTTTGAAATTGGAAAGAAATGGTGGGCGCCCTAGCTGCTTAACGGCATATCTCATTAGAAAGACCCAGAATTTAAGTCTGGCAATCGTAGATGAAGATATATTGGTAAGTGACCAATCAATGAATTAGAAATGGAAAAGGATGAGACTTAGCGAAATGGACCCTAGTTTTTTCGTTGTGATTTTAGAATTAGATAAGCATAATTTTCTTCTATTCATGGTCTGTTACTCCTTTTCTCCCATTTTCCATCTTATCTTTCTTACATTATTTATTCCCATATTGCTCTATTTTTCCCAGGCCTATGGTAGCTCCTTAGATAGATTTTTTTGTTTTTGAGGTCTTGAATGTCTACAAACAAAGACTTGAAGAGGAGTAGAACCTTGAATCAACCAGTTTACCCGACGTTTTTCGAGTTGGGCCGAAAAAGAGGAATGGGAAGCCCTTACACCGATACCTTACCTGTAAGCTGAACCGACTCCCATTTGTCCCGGATTCTTGAACTGTTCTCCCACTGTGAATCCTCCTTCCTCTGATTCTTCTTAGCGTTCCTCAAAAGGGAAGTCTCTCCGTCCTAATTAGTTCCACAAATAATTATCAAGCAATCCTCTTTCTGGTAATCTCTTGAGCAGAAGCTGGGGTTCCAAGGAACCTTTGATGACTTCTATGTGAGCATTCCTTCAGATTCAACAAGACATGGAGGAATTGGAGGAGAACATGGAACAAAATGAGAAAGCTCAAGCTGAAGAAAAGGAAGAAGTCAAACTTGGACGAATACAATACAAACTCGACTATGATTTCCAACAGGGACAGGTTTGTAGAGCTATTTCAATGGTTTGGTTTTTTCTCCACACTTGTATCCGTTATCGATATAGCTCTCGGTTACCGTAATCCAAGCTGAAGATCTGCCTGGGATGGACATGAGCGGCACTTCCGATCCTTACGTAAAACTTTATCTGTTACCTGAGAAAAAGAAGAAAGTTGAAACAAAAGTCCACCGAAAGACCCTCAATCCCGTCTTCAACGAGACCTTCNAAAGCTCAAGCTGAAGAAAAGGAAGAAGTCAAACTTGGACGAATACAATACAAACTCGACTATGATTTCCAACAGGGACAGGTTTGTAGCAGATTCCTGTAATTCAGTTATTTCCATACTTACATCCATTATCGTTGTAGCTCTCTGTTACCGTAATCCAAGCTGAAGATCTGCCTGGAATGGATATGAGCGGCACTTCCGATCCTTACGTAAAACTTTATCTGTTACCCGAGAAAAAGAAGAAAGTTGAAACAAAAGTCCATCGAAAGACCCTCAATCCCGTCTTCAACGAGACCTTCATTTTCAAAGTGAGTTATCAAATTTGTTTCGAACTTGAACCATCTACAGCGAAAATTCTGTTTCCTTTTTTTGTATCGATTTTGAAAATTTCTGTGAGTCCAGCGTGTAAGGTAAAAAGGTGAATCCGTCCGGTTCAGGTTGCCTTCAACGAAATCACTGCAAAGACGTTGGTGTTCGCTATCTACGATTTCGATCGGTTTAGCAAGCACGATCAAATCGGACAGGTACGGAATTGACTCTGCTGTCAGATGTAAATGACGGCTTCTTCAAGATACGGTAGGAACTTGAATTTGCTAGGAAGACGACACATTTTATGTCATGTCGTTTAAAAAGAGAATTTACTAAATTCAACATCATTATGCTCAGGGTGACTTAAAACGTATTTATGTAAAAAAACAGAATGCCATAAATTTAATGGGCCGCTAACGCCACGTGCAATTTCATAAACAGACCTCCGCTGAATCGTGTGGAAGTACATTTGGGACGTATTTTGGGATCTGAATCTCGGTATTTTCCTCGGCTATCCCCAGTTGTTGGTCTAAAACTTGCAAGTTTTTTCATCCTGAAAGCATTGTGAGTTTCGAACACTGAGGAAGGAGCTTGAGAAACTTCAGCTTGGCATTCTAAACCATAGCTCCTTGAAATGGCGGGTGCAACAGGTCTGAGTTTTTATACAGTAGCGCTCAAAAGTCTTCGGTGAAACGCTTTGACGCTTTCTCGTTAATAACTTTTTTCTTAGTAGAGCAAATCGCGCAAAATTTGGATATGATTAACTAGAGCATATTTCACCCTGCACAACACTATTTGACTGGAAAGCTGTAATATCCACAGATAGAGCAAGGGACTTGTTCCGGTAGCAGATTTTGCTAAAAGCAAAGTAGTTGACGTTTGCAATTATTCGCACCTTATGTGCGTTTTTCTCATCTATTGTGTTCGGCATTACCACTCGTACACTTCAGACATGACAAAAAGGAAAGCGATTCTAGAAGGACCATCATCTGTATTTTCAGTCGATTTTATGTTCATGCTCTTTGGAATATCTATTTAGAACATGATCAGATTGCAAGTTAATAGTGGTAAATATTGACAATACACTCGCGCTCCAAATATAGAAATTTCGCATGATTAGGTCCAGTAGGAAAGGAGTTACGACTGAAAAGTCTGGCTGAGGAGCCATTTCACCGAAGACTTATGAGCGCTACTGTAGATGGCAGAAGCCTAGCTTTTCTCTCAATTGCATATAGCTAGCAGCTGGTGGCATTGCTTTCAAAGAGACCATTAACAATGGCAACTGTCCGTGCGTTACCGCGTACGGGCTCCCATAAACTTCGACAGGACTGCAGCTCGATGTAGTTTATATCTCAAACTCTCACAGCCAAGAAATGCTGACACTGGTCCCAATAGCGGTTACTGGGTGCTTTCAAGGATACACGAGACCGCGGTGGGCGACTCCTCTCCAACTTACGTGTGTGCCCTGAGGGGACTTGAACTTCAGTAGAGCCGTGGAGACAATTACTCGAAGACCCACATGTGGTTTCTGATCCATTTAGACTTCAAAAAGGGCGATATTGCCGAAACATTAACATAAATTACATCATGCGTCATATTCCTCAATTTTTTTGCTGCTCTCTTATAACTTTTGGGAGCTCTTTGAGGCGTCACCCCAACTGCTTCGAGACTAATTTGCTAATCAAGCTGCCCTTACGGCGTTGGAATATTCATTCGGATAGAGAAAATGAATTACAAATGGTCCAAATGGAACACATCGTTGGGATCTTCTTTTTCAATTCTTTTCGGGATGATTGAAAGTGAACCTCAATAAAAACAAATCTTTTTTAGCTTGTCCTTGACTACTAACTTGAATCTGAGATGCATTAACACGACTTCCAAGAGTTGAGATTCGAAAAGGAAATGTATGATCGGGATTACATCCAAGGCTATTTACATCCAACTAGAATTCGTGCGATTCCTTCGGGAAACTGGGCTCCGACGTGCTAGCCAATCCTTGGAACACAGCGGATTTGTGTTTAAGCCGACTTTTCTTTTGTTTTAAAGGCAGCAAGGGAAATTCCCCGAAGCAATGAAGTTTGATTTTGGTTTTCTGAGAAACTTAATTGCCAAGTCCCATATTGAAGTCATGCAAAGTTCAAACTAAATGCAGCCAACAAATTCATTGCAGCAGAATGTTTTTTGTTGGTTTTTGAAGGGTGAATGAACAGCAAGTGAAATGAGTGCAGCGTCGAGTGAAAACGAAGCTTTCAGAGTGTGTGACTTTTGCAAACACGGTCTCAAAAAGTTTCGTTTTTGTGAACCAATAATTCCACTCATTCGTCACCTGTCATAGGCTGACACTTTGGGGGCTCCTCTGATCCATCTCAACGTGTTCTCATAAAGGACTGTCTAACGACTGAAAGAGTACTCCGTGATTAATAAGCTCGAAAAGCTGCCTTCACTCCCTGGAGTTTCTAATCGATATCCTTCCCAAGCCATGCTGTATCAAGCCATAATTTTCCTTCTGTTTTCCCTCTAAAACCTCAAATGATAGGTATGCAAATCAGTGTGAAGTCGATTGGGAAAAATTACTCAAAGGCACGGTTCACGCCAAAAATGGTTTCTGAGGCATTCCCACAGGATGAGTATGAGGCTCCCGCGTATACCATATCTGGCACTATTAGGTCGGAAAACTGCTTAGTGAGGGAGTTATAAAGGATCAAAGATTGGCCCGTGTGTACCTCGGACGAGTGTCACCGGCATTGTAGAGGCTGCACCGATCACAACGGAACCCATGTAGGAAATTCAAACAACTTTTCATCACCCATAGCGACAGTGGAANCAGTTCTGTACAGTTCTGGCTTGATGTAGTCAGCTCTTTGTGCATTTGCAATAAGTGAAATCTCGTCCGAATACCCCTTCCATGTTATTTCCATAATGGTAATCTCGTCAACCTCTGTCTTTCCTACTTTTGAGGAGCCATATTTTTCTCGAAATCGGCGAATTCTATCGCATACGCTGTTTCAGTTTTACTTATTTCTCTGATACTGGTTTCAGGTACTCATTCCACTTGGGAAAATCGATCTTGGTCAAGTAATTGAGGAATGGAAGGACATCGCTCCACCACCGGATGACAAAGAAGCTGTTGGTTTTCTTCGAGAATCATTCTAAATTGAATTCAATTTCCTGACATCCCCGTCCGCCAGTTATCGGAGAGGGACACCAACCATTGAGGCGTTTTCTCACGAGCGAGCATCGCCATTAAATCCGATTTCAGGAGAAAAGCCTTGGGGATATCTGCTTCTCGCTTCGATACGTCCCAACAGCTGGCAAACTGACAGTGGTTATTTTGGAGGCAAAAAATTTGAAGAAAATGGACGTGGGTGGTCTTTCAGGTGAGAATTTGTAAGAGCGTTTCATAAATCATATTAGGGCTAAGTTTTTCGCAAAACGCAAGCGTTTCGCCGATTTCTGAAAAAGGGTCCTGAAGTGAATGTAATTGTCTACTGTAGATCCTTATGTGAAAATGGAGATCAGGGAAAACAAAAAGGCATTACGAAGGAAAAAGACTACGATCAAACGGAATACGCTGAATCCGTACTACAACGAGAGCTTTGAGTTCGATAACTTGCCGCTGCCGAGAATCAAGGTGAAAACCGTCTTGAAAGGGCCTCCACACCCTATCGCTGCTGATTGCTGGCTTGCTTTTCAGCGATGATGATCCTGTACATAACGAGGGCGTAGTCCCATGTGGCATTGAAGTCTTTTCTAACTAACAAATCGAATCATTCATAACCAGCATGCTTCATCTTTGCTTACTAACTCTTTTCAGATCCTTACGTGAAGATTGTGTTGATGCAAGGTGGAAAACGACTAAAAAAGAAGAAAACCTCGATTAAAAAATGCACACTCAATCCATACTATAACGAATCATTCTCGTTCGAAGTTCCGTTTGAACAGATTCAGGTCTGTTGACCTTCTCTTCCATAGTGAATGTACTCAGGCCACAGTCTCTTGCCGAACACCACCAGCTCAATATCAGTTTTATCGTGAACTTCCACTACCCTAGGATCAGCGCTTCCCATCTCTTGTCTGTGGAAAATAAACTCGGGAATGAACAATAGCTACCTTCTCACTTGAGAAAGTCACAGTAATCTGCGAGCTTTTTCCCCTTTGCTATTTCCTTGGGAACCTTTATCTAAAAATGGAGGCCCCTCGCGCTTACTTCATCCTACCATTGAACTTTGAGTGCTCCTGTCGCAGAGCTTCGATGCCTTTCTACTGTCTGTGGTGGTCGCTTCATATCCCAAACCCCTTTTTGGAGAAATCACAGATGAGACCTGAGGCAAGTACCGTTGCAGAAAGTTTCACTTATGATCACCGTAATGGACTACGATAAATTGGGATCAAATGACGCAATCGGACGATGCCTGCTTGGATGCAACGCTACCGGAGCAGAACTGAGGTGAGCCAGACTATCATACGTAGCTAAAACGGATCTCGCTATATTTATTTGCCCTTTGCATCCCCTCATCGCCAATGTCACCATGACAGAGGAATGAAATTACACGGTAACAAATGACGATTGATTGTGCCTGTCTGTGATAGGGATTCTCGTAATTTTCGTCGAAATCGCAGTGATTTTTTTGGAATGGAAATCGGGTGTCACAGATGAAATGACAATAATATGATCCCATTGGGTGATGGGGTGAAAAACACCCACGGGAGAGGAAAGTGTCAATTACCCAAGGGAAAGTATCGAAGGGCCGAAAACTAAAACTTACTGATGGTTTCATTTCAGACATTGGATGGACATGCTGGCTTCGCCACGACGGCCAATCGCACAATGGCATACGTTGGGTCCAGTGGAGGAGGAAGGTGGGGAGAAGAAGTAAGAAGACAACCGCTCGTCATACTGGTTTCCTCTCGCCGCTAAACGGATCAACAACCTCGAACTTCTCCACAACCTCTCTCGCCTTTAGAAATCAGAAATTTTCCCAAATACTTTAACTACTTCGCCCGATTTCTGCAGCACGACCCCATCCCCCAGCTTAAGTGGGTCATTCATTATTTGGCTTCAAGTGATCTCTTAACTCACACGGTGTTTTCTACTGATTCACTAACTAATCTCTCATCTAATAGAGAAATAATCCTTGACGACCACGTTGTAGTATCCACGCAATCATAGACTTGTCATGTTGATTTGTGAATTGTTTATTTATTTATATCTATCGTGTACTAATTAATATCATAACTATAACGAACGATGGGCCAGCAAATAGCAAAGGCGTCCGTGCTAAGAAGATAACAAGCAAGGAAGAAGCAAATAATCTTTCTAGACTGTTCATGATGATGATATTTTATTGAAGGCAATGTTCACTGTACTGTGCAATTCCTTCACATTATGTGGGTTGCTTGTGGCCATTGTAAAAATAAAGATTCTTAGGACAATTTCCAAAGGAAAATCGCATTCCCAAGTGGGAATATGGTGGGGGATGTGGCGTCATTACGTGAATGCACGACCAGGAACTAACCAATTTACTCTCAATAATTCATTTATTTAAAAGTCTGAGACTTACACAACAGCAGGACTCAAGCGATGAAAAGGTGGAAGACTTGGCAGGAGTTGATTCCCCTTGACTAGATAGTCCACTATTTAGAAGTGCAGAGGTACTCTTATGCATGTTTTACCCATCTCTGCTTCATTTTTGGCCAACAACTTTTTTTTTTATAACGGTGGTGGTATAGCGGCAAGTGGCGCACTATCTCAGACGCGGTAACGGGTTCAAACACTGGATCAATATCAGTCTAAGGCAACCAAGTATTCCACCCCTTCGGGGTTGAACGATCGGTACGAGAGTCTTTTGGGAGGATAAAAGCACTGACTTGTACATCGGTTGGCCACTCCAACTCACCTGTAGGCCACATACGCATTCAATACGGCACTATTACTCTGAATGGAAGTCGAATGCATGGGCGCATCCCTCAGCGCGCAAAGACTTTATCCTTTCATGAGTGATTATTCCATCAACAAGTTTGAAAGGACCTTGTGGTTTTTTCCAGAAAATCTGACCCAGATTAGCTGATATCCATTGAAACAACTGTTTCTTAAAAAACAGTCGAATGATCAGTCGTTACCCCGCCAGTTATTTCAGATCATAACACAAGTCGAGTCTTTCCCTAAACTGAACCAATTCTAAGATATGTATAGGGGGTCGAAGACCTTGAAGAAAGGCTCTGATTTCAGAGGTTTAAACGCACAGAACCTTGACCTAACACCAGCAATTTTGCCCACCCACGATGACCCAGTACGCTTGTGAAAACGAAAGCTCTGAACCACTCCACCATACGGCAAAAAGCACACTCCAAAGAAGCTCCAAAAGCACTCCACCGATTTTCGGAATAGTGGCGTGAATCTATTTTTCCTTGCATCCATAAACAATCCTACACAGGTTCCCACAGAAGTCCAACTCCAACTTCCAGTAGGAGTGACTCTGAGCATTGTACCCACTTGTGGTCCATGTTTGACCTCCTCTTAAGCTTGGCGTAGTTAGACTTGATATCAAGGTAAGCCATTTGATTGTGTTGATCGAGTCCTGGGGGGTCTACTAGTTCAGAGGACTGTTTCGAGTATTGTCTGGGTTTACGTGAGGATCACTCTCTATTCGGTTTTCGGTTCTCAGGCTCTGAAGAAGGCCAACAGACCGAAAGGTAAGAAAGTTGTGAATCTAGGGAAAGTATTTACTTTTTCTGACTTCTAACTTCAATGGGAAGTGGCTAGTGGTTTTCGCAAACAAAACTTCGAAAATGAAGATAAAAACTTTTTCATATTGATTCCAGAAAGCATGGCAGTATGGACCCACAATAAAATTGGGCCATTCTCCGAGATTGCAGCATTCAATCGTTTTCTTTGTGTACATTTGTTTGTTGGGCGCTCGTCATTCTGAGTGTTCGAAAACATGACAGGCGATTCCCTTCGGGAATGGCGCCCTTGGGAAATGACAATGTTATAAAAAAGAACAAATAGTAACATTACGAAAAAAGAGAGCTGAAATATGAGCCTCAGCTGTGATCAACGAGCAGCAAGAAGGGCAGCAGCAGTTGCAGGCAGATCTCTCAGTAGCTGAAATGCGAATTCACTGACGATTACGGAATTTCGAAGCCCAACCAATCACCTTATCTCATCCAATCCTTTCCAAAGTCGTCCTACTCATAGCTCCATATCGCTCCTTCAACTTCATGGGCTAGTACAACTTGTCAGCTTGTCTACTAAAAAGAACTGATTTCAAGGAAGTTCTGTAAAGGCACTTCCACATTGAACGCCCGACATCAGATCCTGAAGATACTTGCTGCAAAGCTCCCATCCATCGGGGATGGGTCGTTGGGTAGCAGACGCTTTTGGGAGGATGAAAATCCTCACTTATTTATATTGGCCTGCCGTAAGTTATTGTATGAATTGATTTCGCATTCAAACGTTACTACAATTTCGAATAGATGACGAAAGTGTGAGTGCATCTTAAAAAGCAGGATTGATCAGCGTCAATTGTCCATTGGAAATCCCCCGAAGGATTTCTAGAAAGTCTATTTCGAGAAATGTATAGATGTTTTCATTCGTCGCTCGGCACATATATCAATTAGTCTGCACATCAAAGTTAAATTGACCGAGATCATGAAAGAAACGGATCTTTAGCTGATTTATGAGTTACATCATCTTAAGCTTTCAGACAGTCATCATTTAGATCCACCCTTCATTTCAAAGCGCTTCGAGAAGCAGAAAAATTAGGGGGTGAATAAGAACGTTACATCAGAAGTTGCATAAAGGGGTGTTTGGTTGAGATGTCTGAATGTGTGTGCCATTGCGTAGTTGACTAGATTACAGTAAGCTGCTTGCGTGCGGCGTGTTTCTTCCCGGCACGAATGGTGCAATCACTACAGCCTCTCAACGCCGTGAGAACTTGGCTTCGTTTAGGTGTGTACATCGATTAACCTTTCTTGGAACCCTTATAAGGCTCTATCAAGGTCATTTCCCGGCCCGACAGCGTTCCTTGTCCTATCCTCGGAAGCCACAGGTTCATTCTAGGGAGAAATCACAGAAACCATTTTCATCGTACATTTATTTGGTACATCATCTTACCGCGGCACTAAGTAAGAGCCATATTCAGCACATGCTTCCTTGGAGTACTGGTGTCATACCTACGTATGACGTGCGCTTCTAGGAAACTGGACGGTAGCAAGAACTTGGAAGGACAAGCCTTTAAGTTGTTGTGATTTATAAAAAAACGACAAACTGAGACATTTCATTGAGTAGTAGAACTAGATTGCTGTTTCATTTAGCCACTTTCTTGATCAGACACCATCTCAGACGAAATTGATCACTCTTCGACAAAAAGGTGTCGCACGCCTTTTACAGTCAAGATTAGCGGCGAGGAATCCCTCTACTAGAATTCTCTGGTACAAGAACTACTAACGATGTCGGCAATGATTTTAATTTGCTCGTAAATCTTCGGGCGATGGCTGTTGGTCTCCAACATTCTCAGATGTTCCACTTTCGTGTAATAATAAGCTAAGGCTCATTGAAATGGCTATGTTCCGCTCTTCTTACATAAAATTTGATGACAAGACAAATTTATTGCGCACCATTCCTTAGCGTACTGCAAATGAATAAGCAGCGACCACTGAGGACACCTCATCATTCCTAAAGATTGAGAATCAAAAAAGTGAGAGTTAGCTCAAAAAGCTAATTATTAGGAACTTCTACGGGGTAAGGGGCGCACTATCACAAACACCGGTCAGGTGATCGGCTCTTAAAACCCCCAAAACCATACTGGCCTAGGCCAACATGCGGGGCCGATTGATCGCTCTAATCTAGCCTGGGAGGATGAAAACACTGACTTATACATAGGCTTTTCACTGTACGAGCCACATAGGCATTCAGAGCGTAGCTACGATTCTGAACGGAAGTCGAGTGCGGGAGCAGCCTCAGAGACGGGCATGATTAACGTGAAGGTGATAAGAGTTTTATGGCCGACTAGGCACGAGCATTACCCGTAGCAAATCTGCCCATTGGTCACATGTCCTGAAGTTACACTTTCGCTATGTGAGACATGTGAGGCATCAGAAACTGAAGGGAATCTCGAAGAACAATTGATACCCTTCAATGGATCCATTCATTCTAGCTGATCGACGTTTGATACCTAGTCAACACTTATACTTGACGGTCGGCTTCGGAAGACTGTCAGTAGAATCGGTTTTGTGTAATCATCGCCGCGCGCGACAACCGCGGTCCATTCGCCTCGTTATTGCAGTTCTAGCGTCCTTCCTACAGCTCGATCAATATGTGATTACTATTTTTGGCATGACTCTAGTGTAGGTTCTTTTGTCCTTGTATTTCTAACTTGCTGCTGCATTCCGTTACATTCCTTCGTCGCGGCGTCCTTTGCACCGCGACGCGACAATTTCGATCCTACTGTCCCAACGGCTGCAGATGTTCTCAGCCATATACCTTTTTCCGATATAGGTGTGCACCTAGAAAGTCCAGAACATTAATCCCTCGTTCCCTTTTATTTTTCTTCGATCCCTTCTCTAACTGGTAAGACACATTTATCAGCATTCTCAACCCTCGTATCGCTGTCTCATTTTTGCTATAATGAGACCATTTGGCACGCTCGTTCTCTGATACCGTGGGGAAGTGACACATTAACTGCTGCATGCGCAGTCGTAAAACACTTGAATGAAAGACTTTTAAAATGACTGGGCAAGAGTTCATGAAATCAGCACCGTTCAGACTGGTTTCTCGAAAAAAGTTTCAGATATTCAATCTAAAAATAACCTAAAAATCTAAATAATAAGTGAGTAAATAAATAATAGTATATATAGAAAAACTTAACCGAAGAAC